TATATCGTACGAGCTGAATGGGAAAGAAGTGGATAGCGTGCGTGATCCGGGTATAGTTAGTACGATTAGAGGTTATCTATGTTACTCGAAAGATGACTCATCGCATCTAGATATTTCCGGCTGGAATTTCCCTGAAAATGCGATTCACGATACAGAAAATGGACATTTTAGCATGCGAATCCCGTTACGACACTTTTTAAACATATTTAATGATTTTAATATGATAACTTGTGGAAAACAAACCATAAGATTGGTAAGAGCCAGACATGACAAAAATTGTATGATAATTAAACCAATGGGCGGTGTTGCGGCCAGTGCAATTAAAACAACGGCGGAATTAAAAATTGATAGTGTTGATCTTAGGGTCAAGCACATATTTCCAAACGACGAAATCAAATTGGCTCTGCTGAAATCGATTAGATTAGATCAACCCATATTGATACCCTATAGACGATGGGAACTTCATGAATATCCTGCCCTAACCGCGGGCTCTACCAAAGAAATTTGGTCTGTCAAGACGTGCGCGGCTATCGAAAGCCCCCGATACGTAATAGTCGCTTTTCAAACAAATCGCAAAGACAACGAAGCGAAAAATGCGACGCTTTTCGATCACGTCGACGTAACGGATATAAGATTAACACTAAACGGAGAATATTACCCTCACGAACGTTTACGATTAGATTTTGAAAAGAATGACTTCGTGGAAGCGCATCACAATTACACGGATTTCTACCCCAGTTATAAGGGATGTGAGGAAAAAACTGCGTTGCTTGACTATATGGCTTTCAAAAACTGCGCGATTTTCGTCATTGACTGTTCTCAAAGAAACGACAGTGTAAAATCCAGCACTGTCGACGTAAAGTTAGACATCGAAGCAAAAAAGGGATTTCCCGCGAATACACGTGCCTATTGCATCATCATTCACGATTGTATCGTGGAACAACTACCGCTCAGCGAGATTGTTCGAAATCTAACATAAATACCGCCGGAGGAACCTAATCTTAACCAGTCATATTAAAAATGCGCATCGTTGCGGTAGATATTCAAGGCTTCCAGTTAGAAGATGGATTTGTCGTTAAAGAAATGGCTGTCTACAATGGATGTCAAATTAGTCATTACGTTTTGAAACCGCCGCGTGAATATTGCACGTTGACCGGTGCAGAAAAAAGAACGGTACGCTGGCTCGAACAATATCATCACGGTCTCAAATACAGTTCTGGTTTTGTTCAATATTCCGACATTGATACGTTGATCGGACTACTGATAGAAAATGCTGACTTGATATACGTGAGAGGAAGATCAAAAATGGAATTTTTAATGTCGAAAATGGATCAGGAGGATGTCGCATGCAGAGTCATTAACGTGGAGAAATTCGATGATGATAATTGGTTGAATCCGCCGAAATTTCAACCGGATCACGCCCATTGCATGTTTCACTCCGGAGGAAGACTGCGCATGTGCGCGTTGAGAAATTCTGCCCTTTTATATAATTGGTTGTATTCAAGGATCCCTGTATGAAATAAAACTTTCTTTATTTAAATAAGACTTTTTATTTCAATCCAAAAAAATTAATAATACATTTACACGTAAAAATAAAGCACGCTAATGCTATGATATGAATACAAACTGCGAAACTGTAATCTATTGAAGTATAATTCTTTTTTCGTTCCATTTCTCGAGTAATATTCTGCGTCATCTCACGCAAAATAGCGACTAAAAGCGTTTGGTTCATCACTTCTCTTTGTTATTTTACCTATAAAAGATTAGCTAGGAACCGAATACATTTTAGTATTTTACTGACCTTGAACGAGATGAGAGTCTTGTTGCTATGCTACGCTGTCTTTACTACCTGTTCGGACGTGTCGACGATAGTCGCCGCGCTGCCCGAGGAAGGGGTGATTGAATATTTACAAAAATTCGGATTCCTTTCACCTAACGACAACGAATCTTTAACGCAGATCAATGCGTCGAGTTTGCAACGTGCCCTAATGGATTTTCAGGATTTCTATAATTTACCGGTGGATGGTACTCTTAATAACGAAACCGTCGAACTAATAAATAAACCCCGATGTGGTGTAATAGAAAATGCCTTCACGACTGTTTCGCGATGGCAGAAAACGGATTTAAATTGGTATATTCAAGTACCGCCCAGTCACTATCAAGAGTTAAAAGTGCTGGCAACCGAGGTTTTTAAAATATGGAGTGATGAATCAAATTTAAATTTTTTCTTAAATTACTCAGAGCCGGATATAATGATTTTGATGTCTGACAAATATACTACCCACAGACAAAGCATAAGATGTAAAGGGAACGAATCCTGTCCTTTTGCTTTTGACGGAAGGGGTAACATATTAGGACATGCATTTTTTCCAAATCAACAACAAGAGTGCGTGGAAGTTCATTTGGATAAATCCGAAGATTGGTACTACGGTTTAGAAGTGCCTGCGCCCGGAGGAAAAACGAGCTTGTTTACTGTGTTGTTCCACGAAATTGGACATACGTTGGGTTTGGCGCACAGTAACGATCGCAATGCCATTATGTACCCTTGGTATAGCTTAAATTCTAAGACATTGTCATACGACGATGTTGCAGGTCTTCAACGTTTATATGGTAAAAAAACCACAACCACCGTCCGCGTAACAACTCCGACCACAACAACATCAACTACCACTACTACCACAACTACGAAACCTCCGATAGGGAAAAACGAAACAAAAGTACCAGATTTGTGTCACGTAAATCCATCCATATTTTTGGTTACGTCTAACCATCATATGTATCTATTTTACGACAAATGGGTTTGGATAATAAGATTAGGTGATAAAGTCTACATGGAACCTAAAATGATATCAGATTATGTCCCTATTTACGCTCCTATTTCGCATATCTACCAGAGACCCAACGGACAACTTTTGGTAGTCACCGGTGATTCGTTTTATTTACTTCACTTCCCGAGTTTCACGGTAGTGGGCGACCGACAAAGCGTCCAGCGACTGGGTGTGCCTGCGGGTAAAACAGTGAACGCTATTTTTAATACGTATGGCGGTCGAACGTATATATTTTACGGTAAACGCTACTATGCAGAAATAGACGAGTGTTCTTTGAGTGCGAGTGAACACGGTTTTACTACGGAACTGTTTCCGGGTCTGCCCGACGATTTGTCGGGCGCGTTTCGATACACCAACGGACATTTGTATTTTTTCAAAGAGAAAACGTATTACGAATACAACGAATTTTTGAATAAATTAACGAGAGTCGGTGAAATAGACTTGAGTCTTGTCGCAATTAATTGTCCCACAGAGAGTGTCTTTAAACAAATTAGGGATTTGTTAAGAAAGTTATCGATCTTTCACAACAATGAATAAGAAGTTAGTTTTCTTCGACGATTTTAGAAGCTTGGATACCGATCAACTTGAATTGATTCCTGTGCAACATTTCTTGGAGCATGTGAGACCGCACGATTTGTTAAATATGTGGCATAAGTTACCAGTACGACATCGCAACAATTTTGAATTGCAAACTCATTTGCCCTGCTTTGTTCACTATAACAGACCGGACAGCAAAATGCATATCGACGGCCCGGCACCTCCCCAGAATAAATGTCATTATTGTTTGAGTGTTATAAAAGCAGTTACCGAGATCTAGGATAGATTCATTCGGGCTAGAAACATGGTTTTGTTAAGTGCTCACTTTGTTTTGTTGTCGGCTGTGGTACAAAACGTTTTCTATATACATAAACCTAAGGATGTGATTGAAGCGTTCGTTTGTTTCAAAAATCGGTGCATTTGGCCCGATACGTGGACGCGTATGCAACTCGCTCAGGTCAACGGAATCGACAAGCTACAAACTTTTAGCGTGACATTGTCGAATAACACTACCGCAGATAAGCCGTATTTAAATTACAAGGTACGTTTCGTTTTCGCGAACCGGAGCTACGAAGACCACGGCGAATGGCAAACGATCGCTATCAAGAATTCCAATAACACCAGCGGCGGCGTTAACGACAATTGCGGTAACGAATACAACATCTCGGCAGATCGAAAAACTATTTTAATCCCGCTATATGTAACTACGTGCGCTTGTTTGCTTCTTTTGGCAAAATGCTTATTCAAATTGACTAAATGTAAATATCTCTCTTAATTACACCGATAGTGGGGGGTTGTTGATATATAAGTACATTTGAATTTGATACCGAAGTCAGTCTGTTTGTCGCAATGTGTAACAAAGTGGTCACTATCGATGAAAACACGATTTTCGAAATAAAGAATTCAGGTGTCCGTTTCATCTTCAAGAACAAGCACATAGATTTTCAAGTCCAGGATTTTTGGGATTTTTTGTTCTTTCTGGAGGACGAGGTGGGAGAAATCATGTTCTGGAACGACATAACAGTCTACATCGGGAGCAGTATCGAGGTGACCTATTCGAACGAAGAAGAGAGCTGTGAGTTGATACTGAAACAGGATCATGGCGACGAAATTATCCTCGACCGCGATGAAGTAGAAAATCTCATGGACCAGAAACACCACTTGTACGAAGCATTACGTTGTCTACATATGAGCTAATAAATATTTACTATTGTATCTATAGTTTTTCTTTTATTAAACCGTGATTATTGAGACACTCTGTATAAGTCACTCGACTTGTTTACCGACGACCCGATCACCCGCGTCACCGCGCGACACCGTCGCCGTGCCGCACCGTCACCGCCCTCTACCGGGGGGGCCTACGACGGTCGGAGCGCGCGACATCTAGCAGCGACGGGCGGAACCGGGGCAAAACAGGACGCTACACAAGCTGGCGACATCTAGCAGCGACGGGCGGAACCGGGGCAAAACAGGACGCTACACAAGCTGGGTGGGGGGCGGAGCGCACTCTGGTAGACAGGGGGGACACTAGGACGCCACGCGCGGGGGGCCCCCGCTGCGGGGGGGTTAGGAAATTGAGGTTATGTACGGTTTCTGTTGCTTATATCGGCACTATACATCTACTATCATTCAAATTATTTATATCCAGCTGTAAATGATAGTGATCCAATAAAAGTCTAAAATTTTTCTTTTTAAATTTTTTAACTAGTTGAAATATAAAGTGACAAGATTTACAAACTAAAATTTCCGAATATTTTATCCTGTAATAACTGACCCATAAACAGTAAGCGGATTCTCCGTCAAAATCAATGGTTGGAGTTGCCAAAATGCTATTTCTGTAAGACGATCCAAATCTCTTATTCAACAGAATGAATTCTAAATTTAATAAAGAATTGCCATCAGACTGGAGCGCTAATTGTTTAAGGTACTTCCATCTATATTTCGAATAATATTTAAATATTAGTATCGTTAGTTTCCAAGGCAAAGGTGACTCAAGCAAAAAATCAGCACTACACCTAATATTTTCGCAAATTGTTATAATACAAAGGCTTTCTAATGTAAGTTGTTTGACCATAATCTGTAACAAAAATATATTAAAAAATAATTACGGCACTTTATAATGTCCCCACGGAAGCGTTTCATATGAATTCGGCAAAAGATAACGTTTATCGTCTAAAGGACTCAAGGCAACTTTTGTTTGTTCGATGCTAAATACATTGTGAGTGTATGAACGAATGGTTCGTTGAGTGGCGTACTTTTCCCTAAAATTTGTTAAGCATTCTACGTAGTCATCAAATGAAATTTTATTTTTTACAATATTGTACTGAATACCCTTTGACTTTTTAACTACCGAACCCGTTAAAATTTTGAAAGTATACATTTTCGACCTTAACCCCGCATAATGACTAATGATGGTGCCATTAGTCTCATCCTTCATCAACCCCAAAACCTTTTTGTTGATTTGCGGTATATTATAGGGATTGTCATTAGGATAATCAGACGTGTCAAATTTTTGTTAAATCGGCCTTAATAACGCTTTCATATGCGTCATAACATTTGATATTATAAATGAAACTGTCCGTATCCATGTATTGAATTTTACATTTTTCGGGACCCAAATTTGGAAGCATGTAATTATAATGAAACTCGTACATGGTCGTTTTCGACAAATCCAATATGGACATTCCAATATAAAGTGGCTTATTAAAGCAAAGTTCCGATTTTTTTAATTCTATAAGCAACAAATTGTTATCAAGTATGGTTCTACTGTGAAATCTAGGACTAGAAATTAAATTTTTCGCACCGTAGCGACCATCCCACGCTTTAACAAATTTAACAATACGATGCTTGCGAATGTTTTCCATTGTTTTACCGTAAGCGGCATTATTAAACAATTTGTATAAATTTATACCAAATTTTGTCTTTGCTTGGGTTCTTAATTTATTATTATGATCGATATAACATTTCAACCAACGAGATTGGTTAAATTTTAATATTTTGTGAATTTTCTTTAGTACGAGACCGTTTTTGAGAGCCTGTTTTAAATTGCGATAGTGTATGACGTATTTTTCTTTATTATACAAAGTAGTCATTAGTTTTGGTAACTTTGAATTGGGGGGCACTCGATGTTCGGCACAAAATGGAAAATCTCTATGTGTGTCATGTAATTTCTGCGGGTATTCCAGGTCTACCTCTAGGATATATCCTTGGGAAGATTCATCTGGAATGTTCATGACAGTAAATGAATCAATCTCTTGATGAGACATCCAGTCGAATCCTCCGTAAGGAAGAGGCTCGCACATGGCCTTGCCATAGAGGTTATTGACGTCAAAGTACATGATATAGGAATCATCCCTGGATGAATCGTAGTTGGGCATATATTTATTGTTGGCCTCCGCATATCTACCAACACACACCGAAATTCCACCTCGTATAGCCCGCTCGATAATCATAATTTGGTCAATGTCGCACAACGAAGGATGATCCGTTACCCATTTCAAATTTATTAATGTTAATCTCTAAATAAATAATATTATTTAAAGCCCACCCGGAATCACGTTCCTGAAACTCTGACATTTGATTTAAAATTTTATCTTGCACATTTTCAACAAACCAATCATTCAATTCTGTTCCTAAATCAACTACAGCATTTCCGGTACTCAGATATTTAACATCAACTTCGCCTTGGACATCATTTTTTGCCTTAATAAATTCACCGCAAAATGTGGTATTTACTTTCAGCAATAAAAATTTCTTTAAAATTTGACTAATTTTTTGTTGAAATATTGGACGAGAATCGTTTAAAAATTGAATTAAATCTTTATGAAGTAAATTAATTATGACACCAGTCTGAACTCTTCCCTGGAAACACGACGCTACCGATTCCCATACAACCATTTCATTTGTGTTTGTCTCGCGGCTACTACTTTGTAATCCCAATCCAAAATGCTTATGTTGATAATTAAGAATAATTTTTCTAATAGCTTTCAGATGTTGAATTGTAGTTTGTAATTTTCTTTTTAACCCAATAGATAAATCCTTTTCGTTAGAAACGATTTGGTTGCAAGATTCAATATTTTTACTTAGTCTCCTAAGCCACACATCACTATCTCTAAGAGTGAACTTGTCGGAAATATGCTTTTTTAATTTTTGTAAGGTTAAAATTAAGATTTGCGCTCTATGAATGATCTGCTTTACGCGCATCGTGGTTTATTAAATATATAACAGTAAATAAGACTTACCCTGTATAATATGTTGATTAATTTTGAATTATTTTGAATTTCTTTAAAGAGTTGGGCTTTCCAATATCTTTGGATCCCTCGTAGACCAGTTTGTACTGCCCCGACGCAAAGTGTTCTAGTCTCGGACGGAAAGCTTCTGTCACGCGAGTAGGAAGAAATACTACGGAATTTTCTAATTGCAGCAACACGGAATTGCCAAATTTTGTATTAACAATTTTGGCTCTAGTAATTTTAAACGGAACGCCTATCGGCAATTCATGCAGTTTGACAATCGGCTGCTCAAAATCACCTTCTGCAAGACAGGTTTGATTCAGTTGACTTAAGTCCATCTATAAATTATTATTAATTATTTTATCTCAAAATAAAAAAAATAAAAAAAACTTACGCTTAAGATTGGCTGCTATTCTATTTGCGGTTACGGGTTGAGAGTACTAAGATGATCTTTAGGACCTTTATAAAATAATAACAAATGTTAAAGAATTAAAATAAAACAATAAAAAAGGTACTTACTGCTTTTTTGTACGAACACCAAACCACTAAGTTAGCTTCCACGTTGCACGAATAATACCAAAAACAACTACTGACAAAACAGAGAAAAATGAGATGTATTTATACGGTGCGAGAATACTTTCTAAAAGTTAACAAACGAAGACACCTCCACATGCGTTGCAACAAATTTTTCCCATTACGTTAATCCCACGGAGCAAATATAAAGGGGGCAATTAATTATTATTCTCAACAAGCAAAACAACTCGACATTTAGACTCGGCGCGTTATGAAATTCCACATCCCATACGGAGATTGTAAAAAATGAAAGCAAGTTGGCCTTGATCTTTTGCGGCAACATACGTTCGTCCAACGTCCGAAGCGGTTGCGTTCCCGTGTGAAAGCGTGTTGACCCTGAGACTCCTATCTGCACGGTTGTCTGGCGACAACATCGCGTCTATTCAAATCGGCGTTGGTGCTTGTGGGTTGAAGACCTTTCGACTTTTAATTCAACCATGGAAGGAGTGCATGTGTATAAATACGTTGCATGTGTATTATAGACTATATTCAGTGCAATGAATACAGAAGTGCGATGTCCATTTCCCTACGACCCTACAACTGGTAAGTTTTATATTTTAATTACCTTTATACAGTGCGCGTCTTTTCTTGTGGGTTTCAGTTTGGGTTATCACTTTTTTGGTTAGTTTCTACCTGTTTTTAAAATATGATACTCATCTTTTTTACGTTGCATAATAACCGATTTAAATTGAGTGTTTTTAATATCTTTTAAATGACAGTGAATGGAAAAGGGAATTTTGGCTTTTAAAAAATAAACAATTTTTAAATTTGTTTCAAAAATGTGCGTTTTATGGGGAAAACGCGAAATATGTTTTATTTTTTGTACTAAAAAATTGCAGTTTGCCTTTTTGACAATAATAATCGAATTAAATTGAGCGTTTTTAATATCTTTTAAATGACAGTGAATAGGGAATTTTGGCTTTTAAAAAATAAACAATTTTTAAAATTATTTGATGACCCCCCACTTACTGAAAGTTTTGTTTCAAAAATGTGCGTTTTATGGGGAAAACGCGAAATATATACATTTTTTTGTTTATTTTTTGTACTAAAAAATTGCAGTTTGCCCTTTTGACAATAATACACTTACATTTAAATGACAGTGAATTGAAACGTGAATTTTGGTATGCGCGTATAACTTAAAAAACAATTTTTAAAATAATTTGATAACCCCCCTTTTTGGAAGTTTTGTTTAAAAAAAAAATGTGTGTTTTATAGGAAACGCTACATATCATACTTTGTTTTGTTCTAGAAAAAATCGCGGTTTGTCCGTATGACAAGTCGCATATTATGTTGGCGCATCGCTTAGGGCGTCACATATTCAAATCACACAAAGAGTACCGGGGGTTAGAATTCCCGGTACGACATGAAACGACAAGGGAACATCACCAGCAGCAGGAGCAACCCGGTGGATCAAAAGAAGAGCAGCAGGAGTACCCGGGTGGGTGGTCGACGGAGTGGGACGGCGAGGAGTGCACTTCGTATTTAGATTTCCTCCGGGAACGGGAAGAAGAACAACGCAAGGAACAGGAACAATGGGATGGTCGACTGAATCGACATAAAAAGAAGAAGAAACTCCTCGCCAGACCAATTTTATAAATAAAATAAAATAAAATGTATTAAAATTCAAGTTTATTTAATTATCCTCCCGATCCACCGCGTCACCGCGCCGCACCGTCACCGCCCTCTACCGGGGGGGCCTACGACGGTCGGAGCGCGCGACATCTAGCAGCGACGGGCGGAACCGGGGCAAAACAGGACGCTACACAAGCTGGCGACATCTAGCAGCGACGGGCGGAACCGGGGCAAAACAGGACGCTACACAAGCTGGGTGGGGGGCGGAGCGCACTCTGGTAGACAGGGGGGACACTAGGACGCCACGCGCGGGGGGCCCCCGCTGCGGGGGGGTTAGGAAATTGAGGTTATGTACGGTTTCTGTTGCTTATATCGGCACTATACATCTACTTCAGATTGTTTTTGTTCTCATAAATAAACGATTTCGCAACTATATCGCTGTTTATCCGGGTGCCGATGTCGCGTCTGATCATGGTCCGCTCATAGCTAACGTAAAACTTAACTACTAAAATGACACAATGAGATATACCAAGAGTATACTAAGATTATAAATGATGGATTGAGAAACACCTTTGCCACGGTCCAAAACGATAAGGTAAGTGAGAATGCAAATTATTGAATACATTGTGCATGGTATTAAATCAACAATTGTAGACATAAATAGATATATTGTCCCAAATATCGGAAAGCACAAGAAGCAGGAGTAGATGATTAGCAGCGAGATTTTCGATTTGATGGAAGTCCGGAGGCAATATAAGAGCCGATCGCATCAACCTATAGATACCCAAATTCAAAGAGAGATCCGGGTTAAGATTAGATGAAAAGAAGAGTGAATGGAAGATCGCTGCGATGAATTTGAAGCTTTACAGAACAAAGGGGACTCGTTTGGCTGACATAAGAATGTAAAAGAAATATCACACGTATATCGGAAACAGCATAAATCTAGAATTCGAAATGAGCAAAACGAGTATATATCATAGGAAGAAGAGCTGTCGAGAATATGGAATAATTACGCATTCGATCTTTTCAAAGAAGATATATCACCCCAATCAACTTGTAAACCCCCAACCAAGGGCCTTTCTCGCTCACTTATATTAAAAGATGAGGTCGTCTATGTACCTAAAACTGCAAAAATCTAGATGATAAAAATGTGAATATCTTGGTGGAGTTATTTAATCTTATTTATGACACAAGTACCCTTCAGAATGGTTACAGTCAAAATTTATAATGATCACGAAGACTTCCAAATAAAATAAAATGTCAAGATCACGAATTAATTATTTTAATAAATCATCTTCTGAAACTGTTACTTCGAGTCCAGAATATTCAAAAAGTTGGAAGATTTGAGCGGGAAAACGCTGTCCGGGTTTAAAAGCTGCCTTGGTCAAAGAGAGGCAGTATACCGCATGAACACCTCAGTAGAAAATTGCCTAAGGATGTACACCTACTATTTATCGATTATGAAGACGCATTCGACAATGTCAGACATGATGTAATCCACAAACTTCTCCGCAATTATGATAAAGACATTCGGATAATCCAAAATCTGTATTGGAATCAAACAGTTCAAATCAGACTGCAGGGGGAGGCTGTTACAGTTTTGTTTGAAATGCTCAAGGATGCATCTTGTCACCCATTTTGTTTAACTTATATGTGGACAGCATATTCACCGATGCTTTGGGTGAAATTGACTGTGGAATGGCACTCCATTTAAAAACCTGCGCTATGCCAATGACACTGTCATAATTGCTTATAATGCTGACGGACTTGTAAAAAGTTTAGGATTGAAAACTAAACATATGATCATGAGTAGACAAACAGCATCCATAGAGCAGGTTAAATCATTTAAGTATATTGGAATTGCTTCTTCTGCAATCAGTATCTTTCGTTTAAGATCCGTTATAGAATGGTGCAGTGTTATGTATGGTCGATATTACTTTATGGCATGGAGACTTGCACCCTAAAAACGTCATCCATCAATAGAACGAAGTCGCTAAGAAGAATGCTCCGAATTTAATGTGTGGATCGTGTTCGCAATGAGGAGATTCGTAGAGACAGAGAGAGAGAGAGCTTTTTGAAATACTTAAAAAACGTAAAATTAAATTAATAATAATTATTATTATTAATTAAAAGATAATAATAATGTGCATTTTGTAATGCATCCAAATGAAACTTCTTCAGAGTTGTACGGTAGGGTAAATTCCTACGTCAAAATTTTGACGTAGATTTATTTAAATTCAAAAAAAAACTTTGAGACCTGTGAGGCTGAGTCTGGAAACTACGAAACGACATTTTTATAGGAATACGTTGTTACCTAGTTCCAGGAATCCGGGACCCAGCAGTGCTGATTGACCTGCAACTTTACGAATGAAGAACTCAAAAATTAGGACAATTATTTATTTATAAACGAAAACAAAAGTTAATTTTTAATAGGCGTGGCGCGTGTTCCAACATAAAAAAGGGACGCGTTTTATCCCAGACGATTCATCATATGTAATGCGTGCTCTTGCGATCCCGAATGTCCTCTTTCAAGTCCCAAATCGGGCATCCTTTTCGCCGTACCGCTATCGTCGTCGAGAATGTTTAAGAAGTACTTGCTGAATTCGCGTTCTCTTGGCAGCAGGGATCGTTTGTGCTCGGGGGGCACGTAATTTTCTTCCTGAATTAGTAAGCTGAAAATTGTGTTGGTCAAACGGGTTCTCCAAATGTTTAATATTGAGAGAGGGAGAGACGTACCGTTAGCTGATCTTTTTATAGACGAACTTGCCTAACGTTACGATTTCTGTTGCGAAAACTCAAATTTACAGTACGTACGTCAGTATCTTGTCGCTTTTTTTTCCAACAAAAAAAATCATCAGATGAAGCAGCGAAATAGTAGAAAAAGAAATCTGATCGCAAAGAAATAGAAAGAAGAAGAAAGAGAAAAGAAGAATAGAAGAAAGAATGAACTGGGTCACACAAGAAGATGTTTAATTTTGATTAGCTGTGTATTTTTCAACTACTGGTGCAAAATGTTAACCTTGGTCTATACATTATATATTATGACATGACAATCATTTGATAAAGACACGGTGTTGTCGAAACAATTGTCATGTCATAATATATAATTTCGTGAAAATCTGAACTTTTAGTTCTTATTTATTTTGATAAATGGATTTTCATCAAGTAAAAGCCACCTGAGTTCAATTCGAGCAAAACGGACTTTATAAAATGGGACAGATATTCAAGCTAAAAGCTGGCTAATAACATAAGACGCACCTTTTCGATAAAAACACTAATTGCAAGAAAGATAGCGATTGTTTTATTTTTTGCTAAATGCCTCTTAATGTCAAAATCAAACACAAATTTTATGGTTACAAAGCAAACACTACATTTATAACAACTTGTAAACACTATCGAGAACCAAAACTAAATTCAAATTTTTTTTTCCTAATTTCATGCACCCGCATGGCATATGTCATTTGTTTTACAAGTTATAGGGTTGGAGCAGTTTGTATTTTTGTTTGTTATTTTTTATAGTTCTAATTTTAAAACAAAAGCTATATTGCATAAAATGGCCATATTTTCCTAGCAACGCAGTAGATAAAAAAATGCCAAAGACGTCCCAAGGTGTTGACCTAGTGACTCACTATTATTTCACTGCTTTATAAATTATATCATGTACTTATACCGAATATTTAAATAAATCCGACACCACCGACGTCTAGACCAAAGATGACGCAGCAAACTTCTGGGGTGTGTTTCGCTTCATGTAATGTAAGCAAAATCATCTTCAGAAACCTAAATTCAAAATTTTGAGATTCCACCAAATTTTAGAAATAGAATAGAATAGCCTAAGAATTGACAAAGAAATAAAATATTTCCCAAAATAAAATGAAATTGGAATTGAGAATACAAGTAATAATACAATAATACAAAAATGTTTGAAAAAACTTATTGAAGACTGAGAGACACCATCAAACCTAAGGCGAATTGGATAAAAAGCGAAATATTTTGATACTTTGCTAGTCTCCAAATTGTTGGAAAGCTCAAGTAACGTATACTTAGAATATGAACTAAACAACTTTAGTCAACTTTGGCCTGTATACGGAACTGGAGTATTAAAATGGTATACAAAAAGAAACAGGCAAATGCGGTGTTTCAAAAACCCGTCCAGTTCGTCAACAATGGTACGCCTACCAAGAAAGCGACGCAAAGTTATTTTGATTCGCATTTATTGTTCACTCTCAATATTAAACAGAAATGATGGTCAACCGAATGAGAAAAATAGGCGAGTTTGTGTATTTGCATCGATACGAACCAATAAAACTAAAGTTTTTATGCATTAAAAAGTTGAAAACATAGATTTAATTGTTGCCTGAAACCCGTATGGCTTTGGCTCGTATACATTTCCTCGTTCGGAGAACATCGGTTAAATGTCGTTATTACCAGGTTTACCGTCTCGGAACACACAGGACGCACAATTAACGTTACACGGGTACACACGTAGCGACAATATTACACATAAACGATGCCACAAACGGATCACTGGACGAAACACGAAACACTATTAACACGTACGTCGTAATTTGCGTCAAGCTTCTGCGCAAGATCTAAACTTTTTACCGGATACAGACGCAAATCACGTCATGTCCAAAACCAAATTACAGTATTAAAAAAAATTGATCTCTTCGACTGACCGTATTAAAAATCTAAATACATTTTGAATCGCATATTTTTTTCCAAAAAAAAAACCTTTACTTTAAATAAATATACCGGTGTATACGAAGTATACGAAGTGTGTACGAAGTATTGTATTAGTGAAACGGACGGTCTTAGAAATTTGAAAAGAAAAATTATTAATTTAATCGATAGAAGAAAACGATTAATGACCAAGTTAGTGAACTAATTTATTTATTATATATTATTAAACGATATCAAAAAAATATTAATTTAAGTGTGTGTTGTGGAAAGGTAAGCAGTCGAAATCGCCTTACTGATACCATGATTGATAGCTTAGGAAAAACCCCTTTTAAGGACTCCTAGTTAATTAAATCGTATTAAGCCTATTTGGAAATACCGATATTAATTCCCGACTATATTCGAACACAATCAGTTTTCTTTCAAATTTTTCTCAGCTTTAAAACAGTATTCACTCAAACCATGGTTAATATAAAAACCATTTATTTATGGCACTCAAAATGTGAGTAGTTCGACTAAGTTTTTTAAAAATCTGCAAAAAAAAATCGATATGATTTAACTATTTAAGGGCGG